ATATAAGTGGGCAGTTCCTTTAACAGATAAGACATCTAGTAGTGTTGCTAAAGCCTTTAAGAAAGTTTATAGTAATTTTAACTAACTTCTTACTTGACATAAATTATTAATGATCAATCCTGATTCTGAATTTAAATCAGACTGTAAAGAATTAATGGAAAAACATAATGTCAAAATTAAGATTGGCACTTCCAAGAGAAGCCAGACTATTGTTGAAAGATTTAATCATACTTTAGCTAAAAGATTGTTTCGATTACAGAATGCTTCTGATTTATTGTTGCCTATCTCTAAAAGATCTAGAGCTTGGGTTAAAAATCATTCTATTATTGTCAATGATCTTAATAATTCAGTAACTAGACTAATTGGTATAACCCCTGCTAAAGCTATAAAAATGAAGCAAGTTATTGCTATATCTTCCAAATTACAAAATAGGCCTATAGCCTTTAATAAGTCTAAGCTATCATATAATACATCAGTAAGATATTTGCTTGAACCTGGTGAGTTAGAAGGTGGATATATGTGAGCAACTGATATGAATTAGTCTCTACAAGTTTATTATATTTGTAAAGCTTTGATACAAAAAAATCAACCTATCTTATATTGGTTTGAAGATAAGGAGGGCAATAGACCAAAGCAGTCTTTTGTTAGAGAAGAACTCCAAATTATTCATCCTAATACTGAATTACCTCCTCAGTAGTTGCTTACAAGTTAGACCTAAAAAAGAATCAAAGACTTACAATAAGAGACGTTCGTGAAATATTTCAAGTTGGTATTCCTGGTCTTTTATAAATTAAGAAATTCTTTTGCTTCTTTATCAATCTGAGCTTCTTTAACAAAATGATCTTTAGCTAATTTATAATATAGCTTATATAGTTCTATAATAGAATTAAGAATCTTTGAATTATTGCCATATCATGCTTTGCAATCATTCATAGTTTTATTATATTTGTCTTCATTAGAGAATATAGTTATAGCTGAATTTAATATATACTCTTCTGAGTCTTCTGCTTGATGTAATTTTTTAATTCTTTCTTTATAGTTTTGCATAAACTTGCCATCTTTTGGTTTTCTATAATAAAGCCCTGCTTTAACTACATTAATTAAAGCTTGCTCAA